AGGGCCCTCAGCGGCGTGTTGTGGTAGTGAGGATCACCAGCCCCTTCGCCTGGCTCCGCACCCGCTTTTACTACCTGCTCATCCGCCTCTACTTCGACCACGAATTCAGCATCGAGGAGTTCACGCGGGGAGCCAAGCAGGTGAGCGGGCCTGGGGTCTCGGGGCGAGGAGCGCGGCCGGCCCGAGGGGAAGGAAGGGTCCTGCTGACCCTCCACAGGGGCTGCCAGTGCAGCCCCTGGTTCTTTAATTTCGTGGAGTTATAGAATCAGTTAGGCTGGAGAAGGTTTCTGGGGTAGTCACAGATTCACAGAACAGGTGAGGTAGAAATGGGTCGCAGTGGGTCATCTGCTCCATCCTCCCTGCTCCAGCAAGGTCGTCCTAGAGCACATGGCCCTGGATTGTGTCCAGACAGGTCTAGAATGTCTGCAGTGGGAACACTCTGCAACCTCTGGGCAATCTGTTCCAGTGCTTGGTCACACTCACAGTAAAGTCCTTCCTTGTGTTCAGGTGGAACTTCTGTGCATCAGTTTCTGCCCATTGCCTCTCGTCCTGTTGCTTGGCACCACGGAGCAGATCCTGGTCCATACTCGTGGCACTCCCCCCCTTTAAATATTTATACACATTGATGAGGTCTCTCTCAGCCATCTCCTCTCCAGGCTGAACAAGTCCCATAAGCTTTTCCTGGAGGAGAGGTGCTCCAGTCCCCAATCCTTGCTGCTGGACCCACTCCAGGAGCTCTGTGGCTGTGTTGTACATTGAGTCCAATGTATCGCCAAACACCACTTTATCAGCCAGTTTCTGGCATCAGTGCCATGTCCACTCTTTCTTTAAACATTTCCAGGGATGATGACTCCACCACCTCCCTGGGCAGCTCATTTCAATGTTTGACAACCTTTTCCATGAAGAAATTCCTCCTGTTGTCCAGCCTGATGTTATTTATTATGTGTGGACATCATAGCACAAATGTGCTCCTGTGTGTAAAATACATGGAGTTCTTCCCTGCCAGCTCCAAGCACCACACTTCAAGGCAAATGATATAAGCAGAGCTTTACTTTCCCTCAGGAATTTCTTGTTTTCCCAGATTCCACAATTAAAATGAACTGGTTAAGCCATCCCCCAAAGTAGCACGAAGGAAGGTGCTTCCAAATGTTGTAGAGACTTTAAGGAGCAGTGTGTCTCCTCTTAGCAGGTTTTTCTGAAATGATCAAGCTTAGACAGGCATAGAGCTGGTGTATATATATTTATTTCTCCAAATTTATGAGCCCAGTAAGCCTTGTCAACAGAATGTGTCAGAGAGGTAAGTATCTCAAAGTTAGTCATATCAAAATTACAGAGTTATCTGTTGGGAAACATTTTATTATTATGTTTACATTTACAAAAAAAAAAAAACCAAAAAAAACAGCTCAAAATAACACCTTGGGGAAAAATGTTAAAATGATTAGGGTCAGTTCAACAGAGGAAAAAACCCACAACAAATAATTTGGCACATGTGTGATACCACCTGTTTTACCTTGGTCTGTTTTTTTGAGGTTTTGTTTTGGTGTTTGTTTTTACTTGGTGTAGAGTCCTAAATACACTGTCCTTCACAAGTGCACTACTTGAATGTGTAGAGGCATAATTGTATGTAAATATGCCTGCAAAATTGAGGGGAGAAAGGAGAGCTGAGCTTCCTGAAGTCTAGAGACTAAACCAGATTTGTAAAGAAAATTTGTAAATTGCAGCATCAGTTTTGATTGAAACCAGAAGATGAATGAGAAGAGAGGGCAGGGGAACAAAATATCTACAGGGAAAGACATAGAGTGTTTGAATGAGTAAAAGCAACATGCAAAATACTGCAAAGCTTTTTTTTTCTTTTGTAAACTGTGAATTCACCTATTGGAAGCTTTGATGTTTTAAATAAGAAATAGAAAAGAACTCAGATTTTTATCAATTCATTAAATCACTCTTGTAATGCTTTAGGGGTTACATTTCAATGGCGATACCCTCTGCAAGTATTGAAATCTTAAATCACAGAATATTTGGGTAACTTGTCATATATTTATGGATTTGTCTGAAAAGTAAGCCAACCTAGAGTTACTTGTTCATGTTTGGTTTTTGATTCTGTTTTATTTTGGTAGGCCTTTTCTGTTGTTTCAAAGCTGCTGTCTCAGCGTAAACTTGACCTGCTGGAAGAACTTGTATCAGCAGAGGTAAATGCTTTCCATCTCCTATCCTAGCAGTTGATTGTCTGTTACAAAGTTAACATGGATGCATTCAGCCTGGCATTACCTACAAGTTGCCAGTTTGGTTCAATTTGTGAAAAACAGCATAATGCGACATAGGGTGGGCAAATTTTTGTCCTGCAGCTTTTTTTGTGTTTAATTTCAAGGCATGAAACTTAATTTGAAGTTATTGTACTTAAAATAAAATATATTTTAGCTGTTGAGCATAAGGCCCAAATGCCAGAAGGATTGCTGGTGTACCAGGAAGGATGGAAAGGCTGCAGGCTCTGGATGGCAGGTGGAATTGTGTGTCTCTAGGTGTAGGCAGGTGGCTGAAGCTGACTCAGTGTGTGCACCAGAATTCATGTGAAGAAGGAAACTGGTTTGTGCTCATCCCTGCTGCAATGATACATTCCCTCCCCCATCAGATCATAGAGCTGATTACTGGTTTTGGCTGGAAGGCCTCAGTCTTGTGTCATGGTCTCAGGGATGTGACTGACCTGGTTAAACGTCAGTGCTGTGTTTTCTGTGTTTTTATGAATTTTTAATTGCTGAAGTTGTCTTGGCCTTCTCAGGGCATGGGGGTAACAGATGCATCAGAGTCAAGTGGAGGAGACACTCCAGGTCTGTCTGCCTTGTTACAGGATGTCAGCATGGCCTGTCCTATTGCCACCCATGCCTTTGCAGCAAAAACTCTGTTGCTGTTCTAGTGCATCCCTCTGAACAGTGTTGTCTCCTCTCTCTGAACACAGATAGCAATAAAATGTGAGTTTGTTTCTTGCAGTTGTTCTGAAAGGGCATCTGCTCTGCTCCCTCTTGAAAGAACTTGCTCTGGTGGCTGTAAATTTTTCAGGTTTACATTGATGCAGAGATTTCATGTGAGCCAAGGGTGTAGTAGATGAGGCTGTGATCCCAGGCTACTTGTTCATTTCTTTGGCCAGTGAATTTTGTACCTGCAAAATGTAGTAGAAATCAATGTCTCCTTGTGAAGATTGCCTCTTGCTTGCTTCCATGTAACCTCTGCATTTGTTTGTTATTCAAAAATGGCAGATCAAATTAGGGTAAAAAAATTAGTTAAAAATAAGTTCTGTAGTTTCATCCTTTCTTGTGACTTGACTTTCTCATGTGGTGTTTGGGTGCTACCTCTGTGCAGTTTTTGCTCCCCACCATTTTCTACTTACACAGCATTGTGCACCACAGGACACTTAGATAATATGGATGTGAGTGTCATAAGGACATTAATTACCAGGGGAACAATTTTCAGCCAGGACTGATTTGCAAGTGTTTAAGCTTTTTCTAAATGGAGTATGGATCACAAAATGGCAAAGATAATCTCATTGGTAATGAAACTGATTTTCAAGGAAATTTGTGAGAGATAGCTCAAAGATACCAAATCCAAAGCTTAGGAACCTGCACACAGCAAGGATTCAGCAGTGAGAAGGCAGAGTGTGACTGTGGAGCCAGCTTCACTGGCCTCTTCTGGGCTCACATGGCTTGTGCTGCTGCTGCTGTTTTGACAGTACCTTTCCTAAACATTTTTTGAGATGCTTGGTTTTCATTTGTTTTGAGCAGTAAATGGAGCTTCTTCGATGCTGCTGAATTAGGTTTTAGGAGTGCCCAAACTTCCCAGTGCTTTTTCACTTTAGCTGTTACATGTGTTAGACAAATGTTTAGCAATACAGCTCATTTTATTAACTGCAGTAGAAATGGATTGTTACTTACATTTCCTAATGAAAAACTAAGTGACAGTTTTTCTGAATTTAGGTACTTCAGGTGCTGAAGGAAAAGATTTCTTTGCTCCCTGACAGCCACAGGGATGCTTTAGCAGCTGACATTGATGCAATCATGTACACAACTGAAGGAGATGTTCGCATTTACTATGATGATGATGGTATGTTTAGAACCCTAAAACATTCCAGCAGTGAGCAGTCTTATTTCCTGGTTTTGCTACTAAACAGACATTTTCCATGCAGATGTGATTTTGAGTACTGTTTCTCATCCCTTATTTCTCAATTAGTAATTCATCCATATAAAATTTCTTTATTTCCTTTTTAATCAGAGACAGAGATTATTGTTAATACATCATGGTACTGTTTTGACTTCTGTCTGAGTGTTCCCTTCTTTTGAACAGAATTTTATATTATTAGTCCTCAGTAATGTGAAAAAATTATTCAAAAACAATTATTCTAATATATGCGGAAAGCTGTTTGCTTCAACACTGAAAATGCATCCTGAATTGCATCCTGCAAGAGGAATAGTGAAGGCTGCATAATTAAGTAAATTTTGCTGGTTTAGTCTTTCTGTCATGAAATACACTTTGTTCTAGGACTCCTTGATTGGTTTGGGATTTTTTAAGCTCATGCTGAGCTCAGGTATGTTTTTATTTTGGTTGGATACCTGCATTGTGTGCTCTGTTCACTATCAGACACAGGGGAGATGATGTGTGGATCTAATCCTGGGTCTTCAACTTGAAGTTGAGCACTTCAAGTTGTCAGACCCAGTAAGCATTTTTCCTGGTTTGGGAAATAGGAATTTCTTTTTTCCCCTCTTAGATTGCTCCCATGTTTGAACTACTCTGCACACATTTGTTGTATTAGTAGTTAGCTTTGGAATTTGTGGGAACCAAATTTTTTAATACAGTTTCATTATATACACTGTCACACCACGTTCACAATAAAATACGTGTTTTTTTTAAAGAGTGTATTTTTATTACTGCTAAACAGCATAAGTATGGCATAAAATAGCTTGATCACTCATTATTCTAACCTGTATTCTTTATGGCTGAAGTCAGCTGTCCTTCCAGGGTCTCACTAGAATATATGCTGGGTAGCAAATAGGAGCATTTGACTGCTGAGAAGCACGAGATCTAACTTGAGTTTTGATTTATTTCCAACAGGAAGAAAGTTTGTTAGCATCCTGATGTGCTTCTGGTATCTGAATGGTGCTAATCTACCTGACGAAGTACCAGGTGAAGCCAAAGTCTTCCAGATTGTGTTTGGAGATGAAAACACAAAAGAAAAGAAACATCTTTTAACGGCTAACTATGAGTAAGCTTGCTTGTCCCTTTCTTTTCCCATGTCCATGAGGTACCTGTGGGGTAGGCAGTTCTGCAAGCACTCCCACTGTGCTGCTGCAGACCCCACTATTTTTCATTTACTCTGATTCTAGTCTAAGTTAATTCTCATCCAGCTTTTCAGTTTTGGTTTTAGGGCCAGTTTTTTTAAATACCCCTAATATCATTATGTTTTTTCCTTGCTTCTGGGTTGATATTAATGAGAACTCTTCCTCTGTAAGGAAGAGTTGGAGCACTGAATGAGATTTCTGATCCTCAAAGCACACATTAGGAAGATGGATTTTCATAGGAATGCTTATAAGTAATGTCTGTGTTGGGGTACTGATGTCATAGCAGTGCAGAAAATGTCTACACAGTTGGCAAAATGTATTGAAAATAAGATTCTCAGAAGCTGGGAGAAGTGAGGATTTTTGTGTGACAAATGTGGTATGATCAAGGATTTCTACACCCACATTTGAAATTGAAAACTTGGAGTCTAGGTGATGAGGAGCTCTGAAACAAAGGTAACACTCATGAGGAGACCAGTGCTTTTTGCCTGGATTGTTGTGGATCCATCACTCAGCTGAATTCAGCATCTTCCTTAGAGTTGGAGGTTTCTGAAGTTCCATTAACCTTGAGAGCCTTCCATTTAAGCCTAAATATCTTCCCAATCCCACTTTGCAAGAGTGGATTTGCACAGGATTGCAAAGCAGTGGTATTATACTGCTCTTGTCCATGACATGCAGATCATTTGAGAACATGAGAATCACCTTGAAGCTCAGACTTGTCTCTACACAGGGGAGACTCAGTGCTACTGTTAGCTCAATCTTTGATGTAATTCTGAAAATATATTATCTTTTAAACTACACTTCAGGAAAGAGGAAAATTTTCAAGTAAAATGTGGAGCACATGATTTTCTTTCACTTACCATCCCATTAAATGAGACCCTTTACTTACAGATCAAGATCTTCTCTAAAGTTTACTCATATTCCTGCTGTGAGAGCTGAGTGTTTTCTTGGTATCAGGGTCTTTGCAGTTGCTGCTTGATGCTGTGGGATCTGAACCAAAATGCTCTGAAGTCAGTGAATTCTGTTTCTTACTATGGAAATAATTTTTATCTTCCATTTTGGAGCATAAGCATTAAAGTTTAAGTAGCTTTTACAGCAATAAGTTTGAAGTAAAATATTTCTTCATCATGCCCTGTAGCTCCTTAAGGTCAAGTAAATCTTAACAACTCTTCCCTTATTATCTTTCCCTTTTCAGGTTCCAAAGGGAGTTTACAGAAGGAGCAAAACCAGACTGGACTATTACACGGATTGAACATCCAAGGCTATTAGAATAAATGCCTTCTTACAGCCTTTTTATGTACCACTGTAATTGTTTTGATGTAACAAATACCAGGCTTTTTTGGGGTCTTTTTTTCCCTTCCTGCCCTTTCCTCCAAAAGAGGGATAAATTTTCTATGTATGATTTCCAAAAATTCTTTCTGAAGCTTGCACTGTGCTGCAGTGTTACAGCAAAGCCTTTTCTCTGGAACAGGCTGGTAGAAATTTAATTGGTTCCAGTGCTCATCCAAGGCATTTAGACAGCACAGTTTCATTGAGGCAGGTGTAATGGATATGTGATGGATATCAATTTCTTACATTCTGACAAGAAATGGTACTATTTGAAAATAAACAACACTTAAATGACTGATGGCCTTTCTGAGTTACTTTCCTATGTTTCTTTTTTTTCCCTAGGGACTGTACAATATATAACTGAATAATATGCAAGATGAAATAGAGGTAGATGGACTTCTTAGCTTGTCTAGCCTCAGCAGTTCCTTTTGAGGTAATCTTGCTTTTGAATATATTTGAGGTTAAGAAAGTTAGAGCTGCTATTTGTATTCGCTACAGGATTGGAGAAAGAAAAAGCTTTTAGCATTGCACTGGGAAAATGGATCAAACATATGTATGTTTTGGAAAATTTAAAAAAACCATTCCTTTCAATTCAGTAATATATGGGCAATTCCAAGTTTAGAGAATTATGGAAGAAAGATCAGTTGAAAACATTAATTTAAAGGGGACCTGACAGTGAAGTTAAGTCCTCTGTTTGAAATGTATGTTAAAGAAATTATCAAATCCTTACAATGAGATGTTGCAACTGAACAATTTCCTAGTTGCCACTTTCTCTCTGGTTTCTGGAACATGAGAATCCTGGTGTAAGTAGCTGGAGGCTTTTCTATGCAGATCAACAGGAAATCATAACAGGTTTCTTCATCCCCTATATCATCTTCAAATATAAAGCTAACTTTCTGCCAAGGCATGTTGTAGACATTAGTGCAGTGTTTTGAAAGTGTTAAGTGTAATTACTAAGATTCATAGTAATTGTAATTGAAGGTATAAATTAAATTTTCCATAGTTCAGCTCTTTTGATCCAGTGACTTAATGAGAGGAACATCTAAAGCTTATCAACTAGTTGATAACACACTTTTGCTGTGAAAGATGTGATTGGAAATTTACATGCACCATTTTATTCTTTTGAAGTTGTTTATGTCTTGTGGGTTGGAGCCAAAGGGGGCAGCAGTTTGAGGTTTGGGGTTTTTTCCCTGCTTCTGATCTTCAGTTAAAAACTTATCCTGGACACTGCAAATCTCCAACAGACACAGAACTACCCATGGATTTATTGCACCATAAATAAATCAGAAAGGCATATAAATTACTAAGCTTGCTGTATTGGAAAATGGCATTCTCCCCCACTGAATAAAACTGGTGTAGTTAAACTGGATTTGTAGTCTCACACTGGTGCCAGTAGAAAAAAACACCACCCTACCCCAGAAAAACCTTCACAAACCAGCCCCAAACCCAACTTTTAATGGACAAATGTGGAAGGTTTGCCTCATTTTACCTGCCATCCATAAATTCTCTGTCATAAATTTGATCATCATAGCTATTAATCAGACTGAAGTGATGGCCACTGAAGGGCATTTGTCGTTTTATGGCATCCACATTTTCTTTTGTGGAAATACTTTCTTCTGTGTCATTTGTTCGAGCAAAACAAGAACTTTTGGTTTCTATATTGCTATCAAAAAGTAGCAATAAGCAATTATTTTAGTTCCTTCAAGCTGGCTCCTAGTGAATATATTTCTCTATGCTATCGAGGTGGCCAGAAATTCTTATGGCAAAAAGGATGAGTAAAGGGTTAACTTTACTTCATCTCAAAGATGGAGAGAATATTGTCTTGTAATTTGGGGATTTCCAGAGCTGCCACTCAAATACCTTACTCTAAAAATCATAATGCTATCTTAAGTGTTACAGAATTTGAAAAAAAGACCTAAAGAAAGTGTCTTTATTAAAAACATCTGGCTGGTTTGGGAATAATGATGCTCAGCAGGTAACAACAGAGCAGTGTGGGGAGCTCTGTGTCATAGCTTGCTATTGCTCCCAGTTTCCCTTGCTGATCAGTTTCAGACATCACCTTGGAAATGACAGTGTGTAAGGATAAGGGTGTGCTTCATTTCCCTTCAGTTTCCTTGCCTGGTGTCCATTTCTGTTGCCTAATGCCTGGGGACAAGTACAATTGTAACTATGGTGTGCAGCCATAATAAATAAATCCCCATTTCAAATGTTTGCAGTTTTAGCCTACAAATGTTTCCATTCAGACCCCATTAATTCTTGAAAACAATGTTACCAGTTTGGTAGTGATTTTGGGGGTAAAATTCATATCTCTGTTAGCAACACTGACATGTCTGATTGACTTTACACAGAGCAGTGAGGTGACATGGTCTCTGGACTACAACACAATGCAGATTCAAAGTTCCACACTCTTTTCCCCTGGGCAACGTCATGGTTCTTTAGGTCCGTGTGGAGTTGGGAGTTTTTTATTTGTTCATCCAAAACTGTGATCATATTTAATAATTCCTGACAGTTGCCTGGCAAAATTTCGATACATGTGCCTAAATCTTGACAAGCACTAATTAAATCAGGCCAACAAACCTCCCATTAATTCACACACCCCACTCACCAGTAGATGGCCTTGGTCACAAAGCTGTTGTGGCTGGGAAGTAAGTGATATTAAGGAAACTGTAAGCAGGGTAAAGGATAAAATGGTAGAAGCATTAAATGCTATTTCAATAATTCAGATTTGTCTTATTAAAAAGTCTTGATATTTTCCCTGACTTGCATTGTGAGTCAACGATAGTGTCTTGTGTTCTCTCTAAAGTGCCTGCCCTTTTTAAGGTGGCAATTTATCTACATTCTTAATGTGGGAAAGATGTGCTGTATGTGTGAATTTACACAGGCACCTCTGTGGCTGACAGTGGCAAAGCTAATTTTTAATATTTAAATTTTAAAATATGTTTGTTATGTTGATTGTGGGTCCTTTGCCTCCTGTCCCAGCAGTGTCTGATTACTTCAAGGGACGCATCCAGCTTTCCCCAGTTTTCAAGACATGTTCAAGCCTGACCTTATCATCACTACAGGTTATATTTAGTTAATTATTTTGAGGTCTTATGGCTGGAAATCTGTTTAGTAGTAGAAATCATATTGTTTATCACAGTAGTGATCATACTCCTTCAAAACTTCACAGCTCTCCTGCTTTTTTTGTTTGTTGTGTGATTAAGCTTAATTTCTGCCTCATGTGCCCTATTGGCTGCAGCTGGGGCCTTTGAGATTCCTCCTAGGCTGTAGTGACATGATGGCTCACAGCTTAAAAGAGATGGGATACAAGAGTGTGTAGTGCTTTTAGTTTCATTTCTCCCTTGTAAATGGGTGTGATTTCATTTAAAATGCTTTTAGTTTCATTTCTCCCTTGTACATGGGTGTGATAGCTGATCTCTAGGCACTGACCACATGTAGACACAGGAAGAGGTATTTAGCTGTTAAAAAAGCAAGCATTGCCTACACAGCTGTGCTTTTGTTCTTCTAAGGGAAAAGCACCTGGGGCAAATGCTGTTGCACAGTGAGTACTGGCTACCCTAAGTCATCGGAGTTCCCCTCCTTGTCTTTTACCTTCATTTTCCATTGCTGGTGTGCCAGCCTTTTGATATTTGTAGTATTGCCATAGGATAGGGGTTGGGTAAGTTCCTGTGAACTTGTGCAACACTATTGAAAACACTCCCTTAATCACAATGCTTCTCTTAATGTGTATTTTGTCTGATTTCAGTGGCTTTTCCTAATATAAAGTTCTCCTATTGAAGTTGTTCAGGGGAAACTGTTCTGCATTTTAATGGCAGCAGACTTCTTTGCTGCCTTTGAAGTTACTCCATCAGAAATAGAGGGAAGCTGAAGTTAGATATGCTGTATTTTCTTGTGTGCCATTTCAGCCCTCCTCTGCACAAGGCTTTGCACAGTGAGCTTGGTACTGTAGTGCCAAGAGGCACCGTGAGGGAAGGGGGCAAGACAGCAGAGAGAAGTGCAGAGGAGGTGCCATTTCACCAAGGATGAAGGCAAGATGATTTCCATCTTGCCATAAGGTTCCAGCCCTCCATCTGAGAAGGTAATAAAGCATTTGTACCAATACTTGTAAATATGGTAGGACCACTGTGGCTTGAATTGTAAACTTACTGTGAATATACTTAAAAGTTGCAGAAGCAAATCTACAGATCAGATGTTAAGTCTGAATTTGTATCAGCTGCATTAAGACAGTAATTATAACAAAATCTTTGCATAATTTCTGTTGTGAATAAGGGAGGGCGTTTTCCTTTGTTCATGTTGTTCTATGGTGGTTTTTGTTTGTATTTTGTTTTTTATTCTCTCCTAAACACCAGCAGTTAGTCAAGGCTAGAAAAAGTGTTCATTGCATAAGACATAGCATAGACGTCTAAGGGAAAATTAGATTTTCAGTCATTTTTACATATTTCATGTTCTACTTTTAGATTCTGTGTTGGAAAGAAGTGGGGGTTTAATGCCAAATTGGTAACATTGACTGACTTTCTCTGCAGTGAAGTCTGTTGTTTCCTGATGGAATCATTTGCATATGTTTTTGCCCAGTTTTCTGCCAGTGCAGCTTGTGCTGCAGGGTCTCCTGCAGTGTACAATTTAATCTCTTGCTTTTATTTCACTGAAGTATATGGATTTCAGCAGGGGTAGCTGGGTGAAAGTTAGTGCCTGCATTATACTGGAGGTCTGCTTAAGTGATCTAATGGTTCCTCCTGGCAAAGTCTGTGAAATTAAAATAGCAGAAGTAGAGAGAGGAAGGGGATCAAAGGTGGGTGGTAATGCAGGATTCATATAAGAGGGAAGCTCTATGTATTCTGTCTCTAGAGCAGAAGCTGAAACAGCCCCGAAATTCAAGAAAGTTTAGAAAACTTGAGAAAAATTATGAGAAGGTTGGTGTTCTGACTGGAGGTTATTCTCTCAGATAAAAGGCAAGAGAACTCCCTTGTATCTAAGGCAGGGAGAATTTCTTGTAGGATTCTGATGTAGTGTCCTGGGTATCAGGAGGAAGCAAATTCTGGTGGATTTATAGTGACTTTCCTCAGTTGTGAGAAAGGTCTTTAGAACACTTTATAAAATGAATACACATGAAACCTTCACTTGCAAAAACCAGGGATTAATTCTCTCCACAGTAGTCACTGCCTTCTCATGAGACTGTCTGATCCATTCAGGCTGTAGTCAAACGGCCTTTGTGACTTACTGTCACACAGCCCTCTTCTTTCCTTGTAGATCTGGCAGGGGGTATTTGAGAAGATGAGCTGCTGACACTCATTCACAG